AAAAGTTTCGTCTTCCCTATCCTTTTTATGTTTGATTTGAGTTTTCAGGTATATTATAAAAGAATTAGGATAAATATTGGAGATATTTTGAAGAAAGAGAAATAAAGAAATTTAACTCAAACTCAAAATCATATCCAAATTTCTAAGTTCATGGAGAGAATAAAGTAAACCTTATCCTTATAAAAAAATCAAGGAGTTAGTGGCTGGAAGACCAAAATAAATCAGGAAACAAGACTCCTGGATCTAATCTACAAATAAGAAGAGGAGACTTTTGAGAGAGGAACAGAGTAGTCAGATGGGGAGCTGTCACAAAAGGAGTTTGTGCTTAGATTACAAGAAGACGGCTAGAGAGTTCCGAGGAAGAAAATGGATATACAAGAAGGATGTAATTTTAAAGTTTAATTTTCTTCCATTATTTATTAACTAAATTTTCTGCAATGATGAAGACATAGCTTGGTTTGAATGATGATATATTTGGATTCTGATTGATTCAATCTAAGATTCTTTTTACTAAATTGAGAGCTTATCACTGTTAATGCTTTTATGAATTAGACACTCATAAATTGATCTTGCGGGTGGTGTAGGAAATTGGAAAATTCATGCACGACTCAGACCATGTGATTAATAACATAATCATTAATCATCTAGAAATAGAGGTTAGTGGATGTGTGGGATTATGTAAGGAACCTTGGGATTATTACAAAAAAAAAGAACCTTGGGATACACCACCCCAAAAGCTAGCTCAAAGGGTGGGAGTGCCGAAGGCCTTATAAACTCCACATTAGTTGCACATACAACCAATGTGGGACAATATATCTCAACACGCCCCCTCACACGAGAGCTCATTGGGCTAGAAGCGTGGAATTGCACAGGCCCAATTTTTGGTTTACCTTTTTGTGTTTTTTATTTTAATTTCACTTTAAAGTGGGGGGCGGTGATGATCGAACTTGTGACCTTATAGTCACTCAAGCTCTGATACCATGTAAAGAACCAATTCAACCCAAAAGCTTAAGTTGTTGGGTGAGATTACATTAATGATTTTATATATCTCAACAGATTATTATGAGACTCTGTAAATTGGAAATACCTTTATTCTTAGAATTCAAGTTAAGGAATTAATTGAGCTTTAGGAACAAACAGATTAATAGGCTAAAGAATTGCATACTAGTTAATCTAGGGAATCTCCCCATCAACTGATTGATTAGATCTTAGCTAGGTCGAAATTCTAAATACTAGTTAGAAAACCAGGTGAAATCAGATCCCTAGTGACTTCAATAATGCATTCTTACTCTCTAACTTGCTATTGTGATTATTATTTTTATTTTTTGCAATTTCTTTCTAGCTTATTAGTATTTAATTTGGCTTTGTATTTTGACTTCTTCCAAATATAAATTAAGGCTAAGAGTAGTTGGATATTAGTTATGATCCTTGTGGAAACGAATTTGGACTCATCCACTTCATTACTTGATTAATTTCGTACACTTGCAAATTTCCCCAATCAAAAAGCAAGACCAAGGCCGTTTTCCCGGTCATAACAGACTGAATTTGACTGAGAAAGATAGATGCATTTATAGAGATTAAAACACAAATAAATAATGTTGTAGTCTGACCACAAACATAATTATGGAAGAAATTTATAATATATTTGAAGTCGATTCATCGGGGAACAATTTCTTCTCGGTGAAATTTTTTTAATGTATCAGTGCATAGCTTCCAACGCATTCTTTGCCACAGTAACAATAAGGCCACTTGAAGTTATCCCGGAAAGAAACTACGCTACTCGTAATGTATTTAAACTGTAAAAAACTTAAAAGCATGTGCCTTCTAGTACAGTGAAAATGTGAACAACAAGTATATAAATATCTACACGCGAGCTATAAAATCAATTGATGCCTGCTGCCATTGTATGTTAACTCCAATTATGCAGCCAAAGGGACAGAAGAAGTGAATAAAATAATTAAATAGCTCAAACAAGAATGGACCTAACATCATGAGAGCCTTTGTTTTTCTTATACCAGTAAACCAGTGTATAATCCAAGTGCCTTATCACAAACCTGTTAAAATCCTACTCATTTTAATATTGAACCAAATTCAAAACATGCTTAACATCTAAGCTACACCGATCAATTTTGTGCATGAATCCTGATACTATCAATCAGTTGCGTCATTTTCTATAGTCTTAGGTTTTTGCACTGATAACAACAGAGCTAGGCAAAAAATGCGATTATTAATCAATTTTGACCATAAGAATCACTAAGAAAGTGTGGAGCAGAGGAGAAAGGAAAGAAGAAGTGGAAATTGAAGTGGAATAGGTAAAAGGAAAAGGAAAATAGAAACCCTAAGCGAACCTTTTCGTTTTTGAAGCGTGTTCGAATGTTGCCGAGCTCCTTATCGACGCGGAGCCTCTCCTGCTCTTTGTTCTGGCAATTGCGTATGTCGCTTATAAATACGGAGAGTCCTCTCATCCCCGACATAGCCATTTCTTTCTTCCTCCGCTTATTCTTCTAGATCCCTCTTTTCTCTTCTCTCTCTCTTTTTTTTTTCTTTTTTTTTTTTTTGTCTTCAGATCCACAAACTCGAACAAACTCAATTGGATTAAGGATATGGATCCAACATGAATATTTATGCTTATTGATCTTCAGCTTCGAATTCCAATTCACAAAACGGAAATGAAAGAGAACAACAAACCCCGTGTTCTGTTACGTTTGATCTAGAGCGAGAAACACTTCGCGGGTTGAGAGAGAGAGAGAGAGAGAAGGTGGACTGACGAAAATTGAAAATGCCCTCCGACTCTGCTCGCACCACCTTTATTTACCATTTGCATTTCATTTTTACCAATTTCATCGTTCCACTTCCATTTTCTGTTTTTATTTTTAATTTTAATTTTTTCTTCTCTTTTCCCTCCCCACCTTTACACAAAGGAGATATATTTTCTCATATTATATAAAATAATTTATTTTATACAATATATAAAAAAAGTAAATAGACCTACCGAGAAAATAAAAGATAAGAAATTATATCCCGTATACAAATTCATAATTAATTCATTATTATTATTATTATTTAATGTTTGCTATTTTTCTTTAAGAAAATTATCTGGTTTCGTTTTTCTTTCCCCAATGCCGTCTTTTTTTAATTTTTATTCTCTCTCTCGCTTTTGGCTTTGATGTTCAAGTCAAGGGTAATCTTTGGACAGGTCAGAGGCATAATTTCCCCCCCTTTGCTTTACGAATGAATTTGAAACTGCGTGCACCGTGAAGGCATCATATAACAAATTTGTTTTAGTTTATGATCCTATCCATTATAATCTTAATTATGTTAATTATGCCTTTTTGTGTATTTATTGAAGCTAAATTTTAATGCATATTATTTAACATAAATGAAAAGCTTTTCTATACTGATTGATTTGTGTATCAATTTCTTTTTTTTTGGAGTTACCAAATCCTAATTATCTCTTTGAGACAAGTTGGCTTCTTCCGGTATCCCCACGAGCTTCGACTCTTTGAGCCGGCTATGAGACTAATCCGGAGTGCGGGGGAACAGTGATGGCTAAAGGTTCAGCCCCCTCCCCAAGAATGCATTCAGCGAGAATCGAACACATATCCAACCCCACTAACTCAGCGCCAAGTTATCAACTGAGCTGCAGCCATTATTATTATTATTTTTACTGAGATTTTAGTTTTGCTTTTTAGGCTATAAAGTTTTCTTTTTCTTTGCAATTTTTCCTCAAGTGGGTTCTACGTTAACATTAGTAAAAAAATTGTAAGCTTTCTTGATGATGAAATTGAATGGCATCACGATCAGAGAAGTCAACCAATGTCCTCCGATATTTTCTCATTAAATGTATGTAATGAAACTAAAAATAAGCTTTTTCGAAGTATTCACAAACAAATTCTTTATTGCAACAACACTATTTTATTGCATCAGTGCAATATATGTTTAATATAAAAATTAAATTCAAATTAAATGTTACACCTCAGAATTGGCCTTTCAAGCCAAATGAATATTTACTCCTACTTTCCCAGCTGTCAAGATTCAAAGCATTGTGTTCACAGCTAGACCGGCTGTTGTATATAGTCATATGTTATTTCCTAAACAAAGATTCACTCAGTGTTTGCACAAAACACTCACGCTCACAAACCCTAGCAGAGAGCATTTTCCTTTTCGAGAGAGAGAGAGCCAAAATATCAGAATGAGTGAGTCTCACAAAGCTACGGCCAAAAGGGAACAAGGATACACTTAAGCCATCACACAAAACGCTGCGTTTTAGTGTGTTGCTTAGTGTATAAGAGATCCAACCTCAGTTGAGTGTAAATCACAATGAGCCTCACACATTCACATTTGGCCCACAGTCACAAAGTAACCAATAGACAAAACAGGATTGGCCCAATGAAAGATTAGTGAGGTGCACACTGAGTTACTTTTGTTTAGGAAATAACATATGACTATATACAACACCGGCCCCTCTGCGTGCCTTTTTTCCATTGAATTTTCTCTTCAGTCCTTACTCCGTACGTTATGGGCTTCTGAATATTATACAAAGAAAGAAGTATGCTAATGCTACCTCTTCACACACTTTCATTATATCTGTGATTTTCATTAACTAAATAATAAAAATTTGATGCATTACACGAAGAGATTCTATTTTCTCACGTTGTTAAAGATAGCTATCTCTTACTATAGATACATGATGTGATAGAACTCACCACCTATTAAAAAAAATAGTGACACAATTTTTAATGTAAGAACAACATACTATCTCATGTAAAATAAGATAACGATTTTCCTTACATGAATTATCGATTATAAAATCTTAAACATCAGATAAATTCTCAAACAGCATCAGTTTTGATAATTTTTCATGTTCCCGCAATAAGATTTTTGACTTTTTGCCTACACAATTATATGCTGGATCAGATGAGACTTAACTTGCATTAATGCCACCAACCACCCACTGGTGAATTAATCAGATGCTATAAAAAATTGAGCATTGAGCCATTAAAAAAGTGACAAAAATGTTTCTCTTTTCCTATGTGATTTAACATATAGTGCTAGTGGGTGTAGGGAAAGGGAAAAAAAAAACTCATTGGCCTAAATGATTGCAAAAAGATCTTTTCTCAAACAAATGAATCATAATATAGCTTAAGACCATTCCCAGTTATATGAAGCTTAATTCCTCTTGAAACATATGAAAAAATGATGGGAGCTTCTCTTCTTAATTTGAGTTAGAACCTTGGATAAAACTTTAAAAAAAAGGCGCAAATAGAAAGTGGAGACAAGGGCACTCATTGTACTCCACTCAATTTGGCCCAGTCTACGAACTGCATGCCACCATAGATGTTGTTACCAAATCGCACACCAACAGTGAAAGCCATTGCAACAAGTGGGACATTCTTTGCCACGGGAGAAGCTTCAACAAGGCGTTCCAGTCCATTTATAATTTGATAACGAGTGTTGGATGACACAGCAAGAAAGAAACCTGATACAGAGAGGGAAAACCAATAAAGCAAATTAAGCATATGGCAATAATACTGCACAGCATTGTCTCCTAGGCTACTGTTGAATCAGTAAATATGACCCTATGTCCTTTAAGGCTGTGACACTAGCTAGCACAAATAATCTAGCCCCTCTTTTGTTTCTTTTTCTCTCTTTCATTTCTCAACAAGTTGAAAGGTACATGAACAGATGCAAATGCATTCAAGTTGAAAATAAAGAGAACACTGACCATTTTGCCACGTCTGCTCAAATTATTTACCAGACTGCCACGCTAACAGTAAAAATTTTCGGAATGCCACGCGACATAATTCGCTACACTGTGCAGCGAAATATGTTTGCAAATAATTCGCTACACAGTGTAGCGAATTATGCCATATCAGGTTGCACAGTCAGCAATAATGACACGTGTCAAGCAGGCAGTAATCCAAGCATAATTCGCTACATAGTGTAGCGAATTACTGCCTGTTTGACACGTGTCATTTTTGCTGACTGTGCAGCCTGACATGGCATAATTCGCTACATTGTGTAGCGAATTATTTGCAAACATATTTTGATGCACAGTGTAGCGAATTATGCCGCGTGGCATTCCGGGAATTTTTACTGTTGGCGTGGCAGTCTGATAAATAATTTGGTGAAGTGTGGCAAAATGATCCCTGTTCCAAAATAAAGCAACAAGCTCGCTCAAACGTAATATGGTCTACCAAGTAAATAACAACCGAAGATGGAGCTCAATTTTCTGTCCACCTTGCCACCAAGCCAAACGATAAATAAATACTTTCTTGAGAATAACATATGGAACTTTTTTTAATAAAAAAATATATTGGAAACAACATTAATATGAAACTCCTTTTTATTGCCATTAAACTGAATAAAACACAATACTATTCAGATATGCTCAATCAGATGCCCTTAGAATAAAGCACAAAAGACTGGAGATAGAAATTTTGAATAACCGAGCAAGACATACCCCATAGAGCAGCACTTTGCAAAAGAGGAGGCACAGGTATGTCCTCTTCAGATTTCTTAAAGCTCCTGTTTTAAATAAACAACATTTCCTTTAGTAATTTACAAAAGCAAAAATATTAACCCCCCCCCCCCCCCCCCCCCCAACAAACCAAAATAAAAAAAATAAAATTGTATATTGCTTTCTAGAATTATATATAACAAAAAAAAATCAAGCACTTATGATAAATATGCAGTCAACAAAGAAATAGTCAATAAGACATATCTGTAACAAAGTTATACAGCAGAAGCCATCCTGGTAGACATACCTTTTGGCATTCATGATCATATTTGCAATTCCTTGACCAATAATACCACATCCAAAGCCAACCGATCCATACAATGCGCCCTGAACACAGAATGTCAGGTATTCACAGGAACAAACTATGACTAGAAACCAAATCAAAGTAAAAAAAAAAAGATAGCACCATAGCTAATATAAAGCAAATGGAAGCACTCCTTTACATGCAACCAAAGTTTGATTATATTATTGTTGGATTTTTTATATGACCTATACTATGTCATACAATTAAACAGTTATTTAACTCTTAAAGTTTCAGAACACATGGCACCTTGTAGAAGTATGTGGCAATGCGCTGCTTCACAGAGAATTTAAATCCCGGTGTTTCAGCTTCAAAAACACTGCATTCAAGTTGTAATTTAGTATCATATAGGTAATTTTATATTCAGCTAGATCTCTGAAAAGTAAGGTGAAGTATATAATCAATTTGAAGCCAACCAAAAGTTTCACCCAGCACAAACGTAGAAGGGGGAAAATTATTCGTAAGGGGTTCCCCGAAGTACTATTCTTCGCAATTACTAGAATAAAAGGAATCACCCTTTAAGACTTGAATTGCTAATTAACACCAGCCTCCATATACTAAATTTCATAGAAAAAATGGTTCAGACCAAATATAAATAAAATTTGGTGACGCTGAACAGAAAAAGAATTCAGCCTAGATGCTGCAAATAAACAAATCCTAAACACCAGATATTGTAGATGTGCTAAACCATCCACTCTGACCTAATGGGATAACACTATTGTATTGTATCCACAATATTTTATAGCAACAAAATATGTTTTAACAATATTCTGTATGTCAATCTACCAACCAAATGGCTCTTGCATAAACTTGACACTGCTCCAAAATAATCAATCAACAAAGCAAAAATATCAATGGAAACAAGCTTTAATGGCTCCAGGTGGTTGAGATGTACAATGCAAAAGAAATCAAACTGATCAGAAGAGTTCAATAGTAACTTGACAGGAAATGTTTTCACACTTTTCTAACTTGGAAAGGAAACAAAAAAGAAAAAGAAGATCGAGAGTGTGTGTATTGGATCATGTTTGTTTCTTGTTTTCTTATCAAATATGAAGGAGTGTAAAAACAGTGTAATAAAAATGATATAGAAAAAAAATATATCATCCTTAATGAACATACATACATACATACTATGAAGCACCTATACTCCAAATTTTTTTTCCAACGTATCCGATACGCGTATCGGAAACGTATCGTATCGACAAATTAATAGTTATATCGAGAACGTATCGAAAACGCCATGTCGGAGTCGGTGCTTCATAGCATACATAAATGCAGACACTAACCTGCTAGGAAGAGATGAACAAGCATGTTGAAAGCGACCAAGTAAACCTTTTGACACAGAAGGCTTGCCAATTCGAGCATAAGGTGCTAACATACCCACCAAAGCAATGTCAACAGCCACTCCAACCAGAAGATCAGCAGCGTACAACTCAAATTCAGCCCAAAAATCCTTCCCTCTTCTCTGAACCTCCGCAAACGTCGCACAACAAGAGTCTATAATAATCTGCACGTGCCAAATCAAGGATAACTAAACAGCACTTGATCAAAGTTCATATCATAACCATAACCGTATTATGATACACCAATACGAAACAAACCTCGGCTCCAACTTTAAAAAGAAAAGAAGGGTCCGCTAGCATTCGATTTCTCAGCATAGAACAATGCTTCATAAGGAAAGATAGTGGCCAAGCCGAACCCTGCAATAAAAAAAAAAAAAGCCCAAATTGAGCACAAGAACTGATGAAAAATTTGAACTTTCAAAGAACCCACCTGCAATTCAAAGTAACGAAGAAGAAAATTTTCTCGAATGCCTGAGATCCTCGCAGCATCCACCATATCTGAAGGCAACTTGACACCCCGAGCTTCTGCTTCTTTCATAACCGCTTCAAATTTCAACAAGGGTCCAAACTCTTTATCTTCTTCTTCTTCTTCTTCGCTTCCTCCTCCATCCCCATTACCGCCGCTTCTGCTGCCATCGCCGCCGCCATCACCACCTCCGCCGTCCCCAGCAAATTCGGGTTGAGAGTGACGATCGCATTTGGGTTGTTCCAATGGGCCGAGGGGTTCTGGTGCAATGCAGTGGATCCTGAAAGCGCGCGTTTTGTGGAGGGATTGGCTGAGAATGATGATGGGTAAGGTGTTGTTGTGTGAGGTGTCGAGAGATTGAAAAGTGTTGTTGAGTTGAGGGGTGTGTTGTTTCGTTGTCCATGTGTTGGAGTTGGTGAAGCTTGGCGAAGAAAGTGGCATGTTGGTGGTGCCACCAGAGAACAAAGAGTAGAAGGTGTGTTTGGCGAGAACTGAGAACTGAGAAGGAGAATGATGAGAGTTGCAAAATGGAACCTGAACCTGTGAATCAGGAGTCAACGATCAAATAATAAAAATTTGTGACACAAAAAATAAAAATAAAAAAATGAATCGTCGCCTGAGAGATTCGAACTCTCGCGGGGAAACCCCATGTACTTAGCAGGCACACGCCTTAACCACTCGGCCAAAGCGACGGTTGTGTTACTGTTATCTCTATATTTTAATATTATTTCATGTAACTTGCAATTGATATTATAAGAACAGTAACCATTTTGTCACTGTTGGCAAAAAAAATTACCAGACTGCCACGCAAACAGTAAATTTTGCCAAAATGCCACGTGGCATATTTCGCTACACTGTGTAGCGAAATATATCACGTCAGAATACTCAGAACTAAAAATGCCATGTGTCAAAATTGGAGAAATTCGCTACATAGTGTGTAGTGTGGCGAATTTCTCCAATTTTGACACATGACATTTTTGGTTCTGACGTGGCATATTTCGCTACACTGTGTAGTGGATTATTTGCACACATATTTCGCTACACAGTGTAGCGAAATATGCTACGTGATATTTTGACAAAATTTACTGTTAGTGTGACAGTTTGGTAAACTTTTTTGCTAACAGTGGCACTTTGATCACTGTTCCGATTGAAAGACATTCCTTGCATATTATTAATAGGTAAGATATTCAACCAATTTTTTTCTACTGCAACTGTGATAATCATTGGTTTTGAAGAAAAGTTGAATGAAGAAAGAAAGAAAAAAATTAAAATCCAATAGTGATTAGAGTGGCAATAGAAAAAATTAGTAATATAAATATCCTAAGTTCCTAACTCATTATATAAATACCAAACATGAGTTCCTTTCAAATATATAATTAGTGAAATATTTATTGTAATATTTCTTTTTATTCTAAAAAAATAAATAACAATTAGATAGTTATGCAATTTTTTTACTTTTTATTTTTTTAACTAAAATTAAGAGAAATTCACACACACATCGATGTGTACTAAGATACTAATATACTATTATATGAATATTTTCAACTAACTTTAGTTTAATAGATGCAGGAATAGGCAGACATCATTTTCATAGCTCCAAATTGCCGACCCTAACAGGAAAAAAAGCAGCATAAATGCCAACGGGAATACTGTATCTGTTTTTGTCATTATAATGAAATTACACTTATGTCACAAGTATACAATATTTGTCATCTATAGAAGAAACTATACATGTATCACAAATAAATAGTGGGAGCTCATTGTCAATTACATTCATTTGAGAGCTCCAATCTCTCTGCATCAGCTTTGATTCTTCAGTGGAACTGTGGGAGGACCCACATGATTCTTTCTTTGATGACAACAATGGCCTTCACAAACGGTGTCTAAAATAAAATCTTCTAATGTCAAGATCTAAAAAAGAAGAATGGATCTATATGGATAAATACAAGAGCTATTCCCCACACAAACAGGATAACATGTGCAATTGCCTACATAAATGTACCTACCAACTTTACACGAGGGAAAGACATGGAAAATGTTCAGATATGCAAACTGGTGAAACAAAAAGGCATAATGGATTAACAAACATTTTCCTTCCCTTTCCCTCGTACAAAAAAATTCATAACCACACAAACACTACTATGCATGTATAAATAAAATAAAGAGAAACTCCGGTTTCTTGATACTCAAGAAAAGCTTTCTCTGTGTCTGGACTTACGAGAACTACGCGCCCGTTCAATTGATGCTCTCGGTGTGGATCTTGTGCGGTCAAGGGATTCTGGTTGAGCATCTGAAGCTCGTGGAACAAGTTTGCACCCAAATTTCCTGGCAACTAACCGAGGAGAACTAAGGGAACTTTGAGATTTGGTCACACTTTTCATTTCTTGCTTTATTTTACTGAATTCTTCTTCAAGTTCTCCAACTCTAGAACTCATCCTATCCATATCTACCTTTAAAACCTGATTTTCGCGCACAACAGTCACCCATCCATCTCTTTGTACAATTTCCCCTGCAATATCACCTGGGGCAGTAACAGGAGCAGGAGCTACTGGAGCAATTCCATCATCCAATGCATTGAGACATCCAGCTAATGCTGTTCTCAAATGTAGCTGTTCAAAGAACAGCACTTGAAGAACAACCCTGAGGGGTAACCTGTCATTTTCCGATGCATGGGCACAAGCATGGATTGAGAGTTTCTGGTAGTCAATGATGTTGCATAGTTCTTCCTTTTCTTTATCACAGAGCCAAGGATGAGCCTGCACAATACAATAAACAGTCATCAAACTAATAATAATCCATCACCACAAATAAGCCTTTATGTAAAAAAAGTAGCTCAAGAAAATCAAACCTTGAAATATATGTCCAGTGCCCTGTAAAGTCCATCATGAAATAATCTTGATGACTCAGGTAGGGCCTCTGCAAGAGTGCGTATCTTTCCTGGTTTTAAATTAACATCACAAGCAATTTCTGCAATAAAGCTATCTATCAACTTTGCAACTTTCCTTAATGGTTCAGATGATGGCGAAGCTTGGGGGTCAAGGGATGAAGGAGAAAAGGCAGTTAAATTTGATTCAGTAGATACAAAATGATGGACAATATGTTCAATACAGTCTGTGTTATATAATGTATCAGAATCAGAATACGCAGGAATCAGAAGACTATCTAGAGTTGCCAGTTCCAATTGCATCCCTATTCTCTTCTCTAAAGAATCCTTGCAAGTTTGATTGACATTCAATATCAAAGCCACACGAAGAAGTCCCAGTAGGAAACGACAAAAAGATTTTCCCTTCTTTTGAGGAAGAAGTTTCTCAACGCTTTCCAACAGAACCCCATGATCAATGGCAGCGGGCGTCAAGCTAAAACTCGCAACTGTTCTGGTTTTACCACCTTGTCCACCCTGCCACCGACCCAGACCTGGCAAGTGCTTCCTAGAATAGTACATTATCGCACCTACCAGGTTTTCAGGTCTTATACCTCTCGCTTGCATTGTCTTAATAAGCTTTTCAAACAAACTTACGCTGAGATATGAGATGTCTTCAAACCACCAGTCAGATTCTGCGCTGCGAATTCTAGCACCAGTATTTATACCATTCCAAAGAATGCTTCCACCAGGGCTCTGAAAACGCCCATACATCATCATGGGCCATCCAAACAAACTTGGGTCCGTACAAACCATCATAGATAGAGCACTCAAACACTTATCCACCAAATGAAGCTTTTCAGCTCTTGGTAGAACAGGCTCAGAGCTTTGGAGAGCCAAAATACAATCTTTCCAGTTACGTAGTATATTTTTATGAAAAAAAATCTCTGATTTTGACAACAAGTTACCTTCACCAAATTCATCTGTCATTTCAAGGTATTCTGCAGCACAGTGGACCAATACTACATTTCTGGCTGTCAGTTCCACACGAAACCCATAACAGAATTTGGCAGCGATTAAGAAAGTGTCAGGACCACCAGGAAATCCTTCCAGCACCATTGTCAGAGTCTTTCCATGGGTATTATTGGACTCTTCATATGCTTGAGCAATTTTTCCACATTTTGATACAAGAGGGAACTGCAATTCCAAGGCATATCTTACTCAAACTCCAATGCAATAATACAACTAGTAATTTTTCATATCAAAAAATAACAGTATGACTACCATAAAATCAAGCTTGGTATTTCAGAATTGCCCCCTAGTTCAATGTGCATTTATGCATGGATTCAAAATTGAAATACAGAAAAAACAAGTTCCTTCCCAAAGCAATTTTCTCCAATATCTCAAAAGACTTTCTCCTCTTAATTCTGAAGGGAGGACCTAGAACACTAATTGAGACACAGAGGGACCAAGTGATCACAACATGTGATATACCTCATCAAGCAGTATAACTTCCAAAACAGAAAATCATGTGAATTGAACGTGTTTGAATTAGTTGTTTTAGTATTTTAGTCATCAGCAAAGATAATACCTTTAGCAAAACTAGATAAATTTTTAGCTTCATCAATGACAGTATGGTTGAGTATTAGTAATTACAATTCTGCACCAATGGAGGTAAACCCTGAACTACATCCAATAACTTAAAAAATAAAAATTTTACAATCATCATCTTAAATAATAGCAAATGAGTATGAGCTGAAATAAAGTCCATTATTAATAAACTATGAGACATGTCCCGGCCCTGTCTTAACTTAATCTTGCCGCAATTTTAATATTAAAATCTAAAAAGTAAACCAACAGCAGCAAAGCCACAACCTTTGAGAACCATACAAGTGGGTTTCAGCATAAGAAGATCCACAAGGTTATGGAAAAACCGATGGTATTGTTCTGAATTTCAATACGTAACTAAAAATTATTGTGAAAGTTTTGATCCCTAGTGAGTCTAACCCAACTCCCTTATTTGAAGAGGGATGCTTAGTCTCTGCACTTAAACAATAGAGATGGAACAAACCAATAGCAAAAGCATAAGCCATAAACCAGAACCACACTAATTGGGTTGAATCAAACGTCAAAGTAAACAGAAAAGAGCAGTAGGATAAACTAAAACAAAAAATAAAAAAGCACAACAACTATTTCATCTATCTATAGATTAGTTCCAGAAGATAACAATTCTGGAATGGAGGGGTTTACCTTATGAAGATTGAAAGTGACGCCCTCGATGGAAATAGTAATATCACTTGGCAGTCCAGCATTACAGAACCTACCAAAACCACAAACCACAAAAATCAAATCAAACATATATTCTAAAACTACATATACACATGTCTGAATTGAACTCTCCCCATTAACCAGGTGAACAAAACATGCCATTTTCTTATCACTCCCACAGCATAAGGAAACCAAAACGTAATTCAAAATGACTCGGATTCAAAACGCTCATCATGCAAATGCAACTCAGAAAGGCCATAAATTCCGGTAGTTGAAAAAAAAAAAAAAAAAAAAAAAGAGGAATTGAACTTCAAAACAGAAACTTTTGAGAGAGGGAATACCAGTCATCGCCTTCTCGACGAAACCCAGAAAGCTTCCCAGCTGGAGCCATGGCTGAGGGAAGGAAAGACCTTCTTTTCCCTCGTTACTCTACCAACCTAACAACATTTTTAACTAAATTGTTGCCTCTTAATTTCAAAAATAAAAAAAGGACAAAAGAGAAAAGAGAAAAGGGGAAAAGCAGAAAAAAGGAAGAACGAATTATAAGGAGGCAAGGAATGATGGAAGGAACGGAACACGAATGGAACACCCACTGATTCAAATAAGAACGTGAAGGCAACACTGTGTCTTTACAGCTAAGGAAAAAAAAAACAACCAAAGTGTCCAAATAACAACGTAACACTGATAGAAATTAAAAACACAGTTTTATGGAACAGAAAATGACGCAGGGATCACGACGGCAGAGGTGGTCGTGGTAAAGTTAAGCAACCTCAACTTAAAAAAATGGAGCGATAGTGTCTTAAGCAAAAAGCTAAGTATTAATTAATATTATAACAATAATAATAACATAAGGTTATACGTACTATTATTTTAATCTTATTTTTTTAATTGGTTAATTTTTGATTAATTTGAAATTAATAATAACCAATTAAGTAATACAAATAATAAGATTAAAATAATATTAAATATAACCATTCCATAATAATAATAATGAAATGATAGTAGTGAATGCGAATGAATGCGGGGGACAGATAAGAAAACCCACACAGTATCGTCGTTGGGGCTAAGAAAAACATTAAAAGGTCATCATTAAATGACTGGTGAGTGTGATGTAATTTCTTGTCCCCCCTCTTGCTCTCATCTATTCTTTTTTCGAGTGAGGATATTTTAATTATTAAATTTTTTTACTATTAATTTATTACTCATCATATTATTATTGGATCAAAAAAAGAATGTTAAAATTTTTTTGAGAAGAGAGAGAAAATATTAATCTAACGATAATTAGATAAGTAGTAAATTGATAGTAAAAAATTTTAGTAGTGAGAATATCTTTCCTCTTTCTTTTCTGTTTACTATCAAGTTCTTTCTTTTTTTCTTTTTTTTTTCTTTTTCTCTTTTTAAGTTTTTTGGTTCTTCTTTTTGGCTTGTGCACAAACCACTTTGCTTGCCCCCTCCAGCATCATGGTCCAACCGCAACGCCGTGGCTTTCATTTCGTTAGAGTATATGGGCGAGAAAGGCTTATTTTGTGGTTGCTGTCTGTTTGGTGAGTAGGACCCACCACTACACACATAAAGTTATAAACATACACATCATGCATCATTAAAATTATTAAGTCGCCAACTCACAAGAGTACCTCAGTTAACAATTGAATTTTCGAAGATTTGTTAGAGTCAGGGCTTCAAATTTTTTTCGAACGGGGGATTAGTCTCATGCTTTTTCTGTTAGCGAAGTTTAATGTATTCGTTGTTCTAATAAGGGATAGCTTTCAAGATTGTACTCCGAGAACAAGATGAGGAGATTCAATAGGGATACCTCCAGATTATACCAAAAAAAAAATATTATTAAGTCACTAGAAATAATTTAATAATTAATGGTTTGAATAATTTATACAAAATTATAGATTTGAACCTGAATATCGTGGTTATATAAATAAAAAAAAAAGGAATAATATTTCATTTGATTATTTGAAAAAATACGAACTTGAAATGGGATAGGCTAACATTTAAAAGACATTTTTATTTTCTTTTATAAATCACAAATACTCTACGAAAAATAATTTTATTCAAATCAGTAACATCACAAGAAATATATTCTAAGTACAAGTTATACAATTTGCACATGTTTTTGAATTCAGTAATGCAATTTTCTAAATTACTTAATTAAATGTGGTCCTCACCTACTAATCCTCCTGTTTTAGTACTTTATTGATAGGAATTCATAAGCTAGTTACTTATCTCTAACCTTTAGTATCATGTACTTGTCCATTGATTGGAAAAGCTTTAACAAACTTAAACAAGAAATGGATCCCCATAAGAATGAGATTGTACTCAAAGTTGAGCTGTGTAACAAATATTTAATTCAGGCACCCAAGGATTTAACAATTCGTTCTGTTGAAGATAGGATTTAATTTGTTAATAGAATTTAGTTTGTTGAAATACTGTTGTAAATTGGATAGGATTGATTTGTTTAGTTGTTTAGATTTATAGATTTTGTTATCTATTTTTAAGATAATACTGTTATTGATACTTGTATAAATACCTCAAAAAGAGGAGAATATCAATGAAGTGATGAATATTTTCAGAATTAGTTTTTTAACATGGTATCAGAGCCTGGTTATTTTTTCTAATCCTTGAAAGTCTTCGTACCTATATATATTAGTTTTTTTTCCCTGACCCGTTTCTTTTATTGCCTTACCTGAACCCGTATGAGTTTTACACCAAATTGTGAAGTAAACTGACACCTACATATTACCCGAACCCGTTTCCAATAACGTTTTGCTTCCAATAGCGTTCCAATAACCCAGTTCTTTCTTTCTCTCTTCGATTTTCTTCCAACCCGTATTCTTCAATCCCTCACCCGGTTTGTTTATTCCCTTCTACCAAAAATAGATCCCCAAATCCCCAATCCGCCGTCAATGGAATCTACTGACACCACACCTCCCACAAATACAGAGGACAGGGTAATGGTGGGTGACAAAACAAGGGTTCCTTGACCCGTAATTGAAGCAATGCTACCATTTGCAGTAGTAACAGACGATTTATCACAAGGCAAAAATTCAGTCAAAACAGAAGCATCATGAATCATATGGTTTGATGCACCAGTATCAATTATCCAAGACAAATTGCTATAGTGAGTAGAAAGAGCAATCTCTATTTTTTTGATGCTTCTCATAATGCATCGGACATAGAGTTTAGGGCAGTTGTTGCTCATAGTTCTGACAATAAAAATTCTACATTATGGCTTTGGCATAGGAGATTAGGACACCTTTCTTTTCCGTATCTGAATAAATTGTTTCCTCATTTATTTTCGAAGTGTAATCCTTCTGAATTTCATTGTTCTACTTGTGAAATGGCTAAAAGCCATCGTATGCCTTTTTATCCTAGTTCAAATAAAAGTGAAATTCCCTTTCAAGTTATTCATTCTGATGTATGGTGACCAGCTCGTGTATCTTCTTTTTCAAATGCCTTTTATTATGTTTCTTTTATTGATGAATGCACTAGGATGATGTGGATCTCTTTACTGAAAAACAAAAGTGAAGAATTTTTTGTATTTCGAAATTTTCATAATATGGTTGCCACTCAATTTAACACTTCCATCCAAATACTGCAATCTGACAATGGTCTTGAATATAAAAATAAGGCATTTTCTGATTTTTTTAAATCGTAAGGGATCAAACATCAAACCTCTTGTGCATATACACCTCAGCAAAATGGTTTGGCTGAGAGAAAAAACAGGCAATTATTAGAAGTTACTCGAGCTTTTTTATTTGACATGAATGTACCCTCTCACTATTGGGGAGAAGCTGTTCTTTCTGTTGCTTATGTTCTCAATCGGACCCCCTCTAGCTACTTGAAGTTTATAACTCCTCAACAGAAACTTGAAACTTTTTTTTCGATTCCTCTATGTTATGAATCTCGAACCTAAAATTTTTGGTTGCACTGTATTTGTCCATATTCCAAAAGTTTTACGCACCAAACTTGATCCTTGTGCTAAGAAATGTATATTTGTGGGCTATTCTGACTCCCAAAAGGGCTACCCTGTTTTGATCCTCAAACCCACAAGATGTATGTCACACTTGAAGACTCTTTTAATGAATTCGAAGGTTACTATTCAGGGGGAGTTTCTTCTTCTTCTTCTCAGGGGGAGATATCTAATATTCGAGAAGAAGAATTCTGGTCTTCTACTTCTATTCCTATTCCTTTCTCTACAGATACTAATCCTCCTTTACATGAAACACCAAATATATCCCACATACCTGAGACCCTGTCCTTGGAAACATCTGAAACACATTTTGAATCTCCTGCCACTGAAACCACTTCTGCCCAACATACAGATCGTCCAAACCTACCTGCTATTGAAGTCATTCCTGTCCAGAATACATATCCTTTACCTTCGGATATTAGACGATCAGAGAGGGCAAACAAAGGCATTCCAAAGACCACTTATAAACCGAATCTGAAAGTGAAAGGGAAATATCCCATTAGCAATTATGTGTCATCCCATAGGTTATCTGAATCATATGCTTTAACAATTGATCAATTATCTACTGTACAAATTCCTAATAGCGTGCAGGAAGCATTGGAAGATCCTAAATGGAAGCAAGCTATGAACACTGAAATGGAAGCACTTCAGAAAAATAACACTTGGAGTCTGACATCTCTACCGGAAGGGAAGAAGACAATTGGCTGCAAATGGGTTTATACTGTGAAACTAAGGGCGGATGGAAGCATTGATAGGTACAAGGCAAGACTTGTAGCAAAGGGATTTACACAAAGATATGGAGTAGACTATCAAGAGACATTTGCTCTCGTGGCAAAACTAAATACCATCGGGATACTAATCTCTATAGCAGCAAACCGAGACTGACCCTTAAAACAATTTGATGTGAAGAACGTTTTCTTGAATGGTGATCTAGAAGAGGAAGTTTACATGGAGGTACCCCTAGGAGTGAAGACAACACATTCAAAACATAATATGGTTTGTAAACTGAGAAAAGCACTCTATGATCTTAAACAATCACCAAGAGCATGGTTTGGTAGGCTTTCTTTAGCAATGAAAAAGTTTGGGTATCAACAAAGCAACTCAGATCATACTCTATTTATTAAGCATAACAAAGGGAAGGTGGCAATACTTATTGTTTATGTAGATGATATGGTGTTGACTGGGGATGATCTAGAAGAAATGATGTCTCTTGAAAAAAAGTTGGCTGCTGAATTTGAGATGAAGGATCTTGGTCCACTGAAATAGTTTCTTGGAATAGAAATTTCAAGGTCGAAACAAGGAATTTTCCTATCTCAAAGAAAATATATTTTGGATCTTCTCTCTGAAACTGGATTATTGGGTAGCAAGCCAGCAGAAACTCCAATGGAGATGAATCACTCACTGGGTGTTTATCCGAATCAGAATGACGCAGATAAAAGCAGATATCAAAGGTTGGTAGGTAAATTAATATATTTGT